GACAGTGCAGCTCTAGACCCTTTTTTTTGTTTTTTTTTTTTTTTTTTTTTTTTTTATTTTTGTTTAAAGATTTTATTTATTTGAGAGAGAGAGAGCGTGTGCACGTGAGACAGAACACGAGCGGTTGTGGGGTGGGGGGGAGAGGGAGAGGGAGAAGCAGGATCCCCTCTGAGCAGGGAGCCCAAGGTGGTACTCAATGTGGAACTCGATCCTAAGACCCTGAGACCACGACCTGAGCCAAAGGCAGACACTTAACCGACTGAGCCACCCAGGTGTCCCCTCAAGTGCAGCTTTTATAGATATGTCGACTGAAAAGAAGCTGTTCAAGCACATAAAGGATATCATTTCTATTTCAGTGACTTCCAGCAAAATGTCTGTCTTCATTAGTAGAGTAGTATTTTGTAAGGAAAAAATATCCTACAAATTTATGAAGGCAACCATTCTACTGCATAGAAATAAAGATTTTTAAATGGTACACAATAACCAGAAGAGAAATAATGAAAGACACTGGAAAGTATACAGCAGCCCAAATATTACTATATAGTTTAAGTACTGAAACAAATAGCCTACGTTTATGGTATGTGAGGTAGTTCTAGATTTCTTAACCATAGAACAGGTGAATTAATTTATTGAAGTTACATGTTTTATCTAAAAATATTTTTCTAGGGCACCTGGGTGGCTCAGTTGGTTAAGCCACTGCCTTTGGCTCAGGTCATGATCCTGGAGTCCCGGGATGGAGTCCCACGTCGGGCTCCCTGCTCAGCAGGGAGTCTGCTTCTCCCTCTGACCCTCCCCCTTCTCATGCTCGCTCTCTCTCTCTCTCTCTCTCAAATAAATAAATAAAATCTTTAAAATAAAATAAAATAAAAATAAAAATATTTTTCTAGCTTTCAGGCAGTCAAACCCTGTCCCACAAAGGGACAATAGCTGCAAAAAAGATCAACCTTTATTATCAAAAAGCAGGACTTCTGCAATTTTTGAAGAAATCAAACTGGCTCATTTTTTTCAGGTTCTGCTCTTTGTTTTTCTTGGAATACAGTGCTCGAGGACTTCATGGATAGTGCAAATTACATTTTACAAAGACTAATGTTCCATAACTATATGAACTAATATGCTCTAATAACAAAACCAGTTAGGACAAATGAAAATTCTTAACTGTTAAAAATCTGGAATAATGGTCTGGTACTTGAATTTTCCTTTTTTTAAAAAAGATTTTATTTGAGAGCGAGCAAGCGAGCATGCAGGGGGAGAGGCAGAGCGAGAGGGAGAAGCAGGCTCCCCAGTGAGCAGGGAGCTCAACACAGGGCTCGATAACAGGACCCAGAGATCATGACCTGAGCCAAAGGCAAACGCTTAACCAACTGAGCCACCCAGGCACCCCTTGAATATTTACTTTTAATCAAACTCCACGTGAGATTTGTAAGATTGGCAAGATCTGGATTCCTGTGTGTTCCACCACACCTCACAGAGACTTGTCTATTCTTATTTCTGGTACTTGGTGCTCTACATTTCCCATCAATCAGAT